TTATTGGTTTCAAGGTTTGGTTCAATTCCAACTTGGTGTTTGGTGGTTCTCCAAGGTTTCAAGGCAAAGTACAATGATATCTTGAGTGGTTGAGATATTTCTTCTGAATTTGAAAATGCTTGAGTGTAGGGAGGATAAGTTGGAGGCTCAAGAATCTAGTTTTATACATAAAGTTACCTTTATCAAAATGGAAGTCATGCCTTTATGCCAAAAATGGAAAAATCCTTAAAACCAAGCTTTAACCTTTTTTATAATGCACCAAAAGCATGTGTACTTATCTGATTTAAGCCACATTAGCAACTAATAGGGTCTGCCACATGAAATCTTGGAGATTTGAGGGGTTTTGCAAGAGTGAACTCATGAGGTCATGACCTAGAAATCAAGTTTTAGACTCCAACTTCATCTATTCGAAACTCCTAGCTTACAAATGCTATGAAGAAGTTCTTGTACTTTTTGGAAAGACCTAAACATTCCCTACAAATTTTATGTTTTGAGAATTCCTTGAATCCTAAGGGATTATGGTGAAAACTAGCCTTGAAGTTGATTGAAAATTGGAGTAACAAAGTTGTCTTGAAAAATTTCTAAGTGTTTTGAAATTCTTCCAAACTTTGAAGCTTCATAACTCAAAATCTAAGAATCTTTTTCTCATAGGTCACGAAAATTTTGTATTACATGAAGAGATCTACAAATTGATCGTTAGAACTCACAAAATGGATGTGTGGATTAGAAGTTATGGCTTTCCAAAGTTGACACCAAAATTAGGGTTTTTCCACACTTAGAAAAATTTCAAGTTGTCTAAGTTTTCTTCTTTTGCAAGAAACCTCTCAAATATTAATTTCTTCATGATCAAACTCATTGATTAAGCATATCTTGATGAAATTTAGCTTGGATGCTCCAATTTGAACCAAAAACCCTAAAAGTCAAAGAGTTGACTTTGTCAGATGAATTTTGAATCAGATGAATTCAATTGTGTGATCTTCAATGAATTTTCATCTTGAGACTTCTCAAACATCCTAGATACGATTCAAGGATGTATATGAACACGTTGAATCATGTCCCAAGACTTGGTATCATGCTTGGTTCAAAAGTCAAAGGCACAATTGACTTTTCCTGACAAAACCCTAATTTGGGGCCAGATGAAATTGGGCTTCAATTGTCTTGTAGTGAGATCAATTAGCACTTGATTCTTGTTGAATATAACCTTCTTGAATGTATGTGAACTTGATTTGATGATGATCAATCCAAAACATTGACTGATCAAGCAAGTCCTCTTGACTCCACAGGTGCAAAACCCTAATTCAGATGAATTCAACAACAACAACAAACTTGAAACAAGGTTAGGGTTAGGAATACCCGCCTTAGGCGTCAAGAAAAGATAGGAAGACTCTCAGAAGACTGGTTGGCAACTTCTTCCTTAATAATGATGTACTCTACAAAAGAAACTTCGACATGCTTTTACTAAGATGCATGGACAGACACGAAGTAAACATGCTAATGAAAGAGATTCATGAAGGATCCTTCGGCACCCATTCCAATAGGCATACAATAAGAAAAATCCTAATAGCAGGGTATTATTAGCTGACAATGGAATCTGATTGTTACAAATACATGATAAAGTGTCACAAGTGTCAGATATACGCCGACAAGATTCATGTATCGCCAACGCATCTCAAATTTCTCTCTTCTCCATGTCCTTTTTCTTTATGGAGAATCAATATGATTGGCATGACTGAACCTAAAGCCTCAAACAGACATCGGTTCATCCAGGTAGCCATTGATTACTTCACCAAATGGGTCGAAGCAGCATCATATGCCAATGTGACCAGACAAGTGGTTGTCTGATTTATCAAAAACAATCTCATATGTCGTTATGGTGTTCCGAGCCAGATCATTACTGATAAGGGATCTTACCTGAACAACAAGATGATGAAAGAATTACGTGTCGAGTTCAAAATTGAACACCATAACTCGTCTCCCTATCGGCCTAAGATGAATGGCCCGGTAGAGGCAGCTAACAAAAGTATCAAGAAGATCATTCAGAAGATGGTTGTAACCTACAAAGATTGGCACGAGATGCTATCATTTTCTCTTCACGGTTATCGCACATCCGTCCGCACTTCAACTGGAGCGACTCCTTTCTCTTTAGTATATGGCATGGAAGTTGTACTCCCCATAGAAGTTAAGATCTCGTCAATGAGAGTATTGATGGAGGCCAAGCGAACAGAAGTTGAATGGTGTCAAAGTAGGCACGATGAATTGAATCTGATCAAAGAAAAAAGAATGACGTCTTTATGACATGGTCAGTTTTTTTTTTGACAAGAACAAAATTAACTTCTTTCATTATTCAAAAGAGATTCAATACAAGGAGGAATAACATTAATAACATTACGCCTAGACCAAGAATTGGCCGCCTTCGCTAACGAGTGGGCAACCATATTCGCTTGGCGTTTAATAAACTTCACCTCAAAGTTTTGAATAAGAGGAAGTAACTGCTTAATAGAAGAAATAATACAACTAAATTCAGAACAACCAACATGAATAGATAGAACAGCATTAACCACCACCTGGGAGTCACTTTCAAAGATCACAGAATTCATGTTTCTAGCAATAGCGCACTGAATTGCCTCTTTCAAGGCCAAAGCTTCCGCCTCTACCGTAGAAATAATTCCAGTATCCCAAGCCACTCCTGCTGATATGAATCTCCCAACATTATCCCTCATACACCAGCCCCTATTAGTTGTCTTTATTTGGTTATTGAAGCCCGCGTCCACATTGCACTTAAGCCAACCTTCCTGAGGCGGGTTCCACTTCACACAACTAGGATTTGCAATATTGACTTCTTTCACATCACGAGCCATAAACCAATCCTTCCAATTAAATAAGGCTTGGAGTCCCACCTTCGAATAATCTTCTCTCTTATTATTCCATATAATATTATTTCTATTCTTCCAAAGGGAATCGAGAAGCACCGCAAACCTACCAACCTCCCGGCTTTCCTCTTTACTACAAATATCAAAAATAAGTGTTGTAGCATCAGAAAAAGAGTGTAACCTGGATTCGATAAGGTGAAACAAACCTGCTGCCTGCCAACACTGGTGAACGTTAATACAACCAAAGAACACGTGCCAATCATCTTCCACGCCAACTTCACAACTTTGGCACACAGAAGGACATTGAACATAATGCTGGCGGAGTCTGACCCTCGATGGCAAACAACGTCTACAAATCCTCCATAATAAGTGTTTCGCTCGAGGAGGCGCCATGATGTTCCAGATGTTATTCCAAACTTCTGCACCGCTCCCTACCTGATTATGGCGCTGAGAGTTCCTCCACAACCGGTAGCCCGATCGCACACTATACTCACCGTTCTTTTCCTCTTTCCATATTATGCCATCCTCTGTCACCTCTCCTAACAGAGGAACCTTCATAACTTCACTTGCCACTGCATGATCAAATAAGGCATGAATAGCTTGGGTATCCCATTGTTTAGAGTTATGGAGTAAAAGATCATTCACACACATGTCATACACACCTGAGATCTGGGGGCCAGTAATGTAATCGCCTTCCTTACTTCTCAACCAAGGATCTCTCATAATATTTATATTACTACCATCACCGATGCTCCACCTGCATCCAAGTATTAAAACATTTCTAGCTTTCCAAAGGCTCCTCCAAACAAAACTTGGGTTATTACCAATCTTTGCATCTAAAAAAGAGGATTTAGGGAAGTACCTTGCTTTGAATATGCGAGAGACGAGAGTATGAGATTTTGATAATAATTTCCACCCTTGTTTAGCTAACATAGCTAAATTAAAAGCTTTGAAATCTCTAAAACCCATGCCTCCTTCATGTTTGGTGTAGGCTAAGTGTTCCCATGCCAACCATTTGATACCTTTATTATTATTGTTTCCTCCCCCCCCCCCCCCACCAGAAAGCATTCAACATCTTCTCAATATTATTGACGAAAGTGTCTGGAATAAGATAAATGCTCATATTATAAGATGGTATTGATTGGAGCACAGACTTGATCATTGCCTCCTTCCCCGCTTTGGATAGCGCCTGACCTCTCCAAGAATTGATCCTCTTCCATATGCGATCCTTTATGAAAGAAAAAGTCTCCTTTTTACTGCGACCTATCATAGAAGGGAGCCCTAGGTAAGTGCCTGTACCCAACACCAGATGGACACCAATAATCCTCGCAATATCTTCCTGAGCCGGAATGTTAATGTTACAACTAAAGAAAACTTCTGATTTTGAAAGATTTATCTCTTGTCCGAAGCAAGGGAATAGACCTTGAGAAGCTCCATAAGATGTGTCAACTCCAATACATTAGCCCTACAAAACAAAAAACAATCGTCAGCAAAAAGTAGATGGGACACACTTGGTGCCCCTCTGCAAATTTGGATGCCATGAATATCACCACGGGCAATTACTCCTTTTATGAGAGCTGAGAGGCCTTCTGCAATAAGAATGAATAGATATGGAGACAGTGGGTCTCCTTGTCTCAATCCTCTTCCTGGTAGAATAGGTCCAAAACTATCTAAATTAACCAAAATCGAGTAGTTCACTGACGAAACACATATCATCATCCAATGGATCCATTTGTCAGCAAACCCCATCCTTCTGAGCATACCCCTCAAAAAACCCCAATCCACCCTATCATACGCCTTACTAATATCAATCTTCAAAGCCAAATGAGCTTTGTTCCCCGTTGTTCTCCTCTTGAGGGAATGAATGACATCAATAGCAATTAGAGCGTTATCAAGAATGGAACGAACTTCCACGAAAGCGGACTGCTCTTCCGAGACGTATTTACCCAAATAGAGTTTCAATCTATTAGCTAGTAATTTTGAGACCAGCTTATAGATCACATTACACAGTGAGATAGGCCGGAGATCCTTCATGGTATGAGGGTTAGTACACTTGGGGATAAGACATATGTTTGTTTCATTTAGAGAGTCAGGAAAAAACCCTCTGTCTAACCAGTTCTTCGCTGCCACCTAAATATCATCCCCACAGAGATGCCAAAATTTCTGATAGAAAGCTGGGTTAAATCCGTCTGGACCGGGAGACTTATCCGGATGCATGGTAGAAAGGGCATTGAACAACTCCTCTTTGGAAATTGGAGAAAGAAGCTTACTATTATCATCTGCAGATATTGTTGGTTGAATGAGTTCCAGTACTGGTTCATATACCCCCTGCCCTGCAAGGAATAAATTGTCAAAATAATCTTTCGCAATGTTGCACATACCATTGTGCTCTCGGACTTCATTGTCGTTATCATCGATGAGCAACTGGATTTGCTGAAACTTTTTACGTGCAGTAGTCGAGCAGTGGAAAAAGGTTGTATTTCGGTCTCCACTGCGCAGCCAATGCATTTTTGCCCGCTGCTTCCAGAATATTTCGTCGCGGATGAGCACTTTGTTATACTTCTATTGAGCCTCAAAGAATCGTGTTGCCGCCTCCTCGTCTTGGGCATTACGGTGAGCTTCCATCGTTTCTAACAATCCTTCGGTTTCTTCCTTCTGACTTTTGCGTTTACGGTAACTCCACGAATTAAGATCACCCGCACATATAGCTATACGGTCGGTGACCTCTCCACTATCAATCTTGTTCCAACCGGCGCTGACCACTTCTTCAATATCATCTTCCTGAAGCCATTTATTTTCGAATCTGAACTTGTACCTATTACGTCGACATTGGGCAGGGTCACAATGCAATATAAATGGACTGTGGTCCAAATGAGAAGCGAATAAGTTCTTCAATTGTGCATTCGGGAAAAGTTCCAACCAGTTAGTTGTAACAAGAGCTCTGTCCAACCTTTCCTCCACTGCATGATTAGTACCACGACTTTTCGTCCAAGTAAACGGGTGTCCCTCGAGATGGACATCAGTGAGATTGCAGTCATTCACAGCTTGGCGAAAACCGACACATAACCAGTTCAGGTGACTATGATTTCCAGTTTTGTCCTGTTGAGACAATAAATCATTGAAATCTCCGATAATACACCACAGAACTTCTGACATATCTCAAAGGTTACGAAGCATGTCCCAAGCTTGACGTCTTCTACTCCTCTCGGGAAAGCCGTAGTAACAATTCAACCGCCATATACCTTTTGAGTCATCCTGTATGCTTAGATTAATAAAATTCCTGGAAAAATTCATAACACTACACTTTGCACTATCCTTCCACATGACAGATAAGCCACCACTTCTTCCTTCTACATCAATTGTTAAACAAGAGTCGAACCGCAACATCACTCGAATATGTTCCAGCTTCTGAGTTCTATCAAGTGTCTCAGACAGGAAAAGAATATTCGGCCGATGCTGATGAGCCAACTTGCGAAGGTTCGGAATTGCTCTCGGGTTGCTCAAGCCCCGGCAATTCCAACTGAGGATTCTCATTAGTCCCGGCAGTCCTGGCTGCCAGGACCTGCCGATAAAAAATGTTGATTAGTAGCATTTGTTGAGCTCTTCTATTCTATAACTGGTGTTCTCCTCCTTTTTCTTTCTAACTGATTTTCAGTTTCTTCTACTGTATCAACAACATGGAAGTTGGGGCTTTGTATCACACTGACTTCTACATCTTCTTTTAGCTGACACGGGTTTTTGGTTTGTGCATGGTTTTGCAAAAAATTAGTTTTGTTTCGGTTTGCATGCATTGGCTTCATTTGAGAAAATTTTGGCTTGAGTTTGTGTGATTTGTGGTTGAGGGCTGCAGGTGTTGGAATGAAAGTTGGGTTTGTATGGGTAGTGGAATAAGGCATATTATATGAGTTGTTTTCAAAGGATATAGCATCTGATACACGAGGTTTGGCAGCAAAGATTAATTGTGGTTGGTTAGTTGGCGCCGCAATTTCGATGTGTGGTGGGTTCATGTCTAATTTTGTTTTTGTTTTATTTGTGTGTTCCTTAAGCGGGTCTACTTATGGCAGCCAATGAGGGACAGCATTGATAAGTGGGGGGACAACATTGATAAGTGGGGGGGCAAGGTTATTTTTGGCTAATGATTGTGTCAGTGATTTTGTCTGGGCTTGGTCAATAACTTTTGTGACAACTATTAAAGGTGAGTTATTGTTGTTTCCATACATAGTCAAAACACGATCCGTGTTATTAAAATTTGCCTTCAACATAATTTGATTTTTATTTGAATGAGGATCTTGGGAACTTAATACTTGTGGGCCCGCCTCATGATTGGTTTCAGCTTCACTCTCCAAACCAGGTTCGTACTCCTCACGCGCTTTGGAACTTCCAGACTCAGAAACATGGACTCCTCCTTCCTTCTCACTCTTTAGCCATTTTGAAGATTGGCCTCCATTAATCCTCCGGTTCTCTGCTCGAAGTTCATTAGACCACTCCCTAACCCCGTTGTCTTTTGTCATAGCAAAACGAACTTCACATCTTTGTTCTGTATGCCCTAGGATTCCACAAACAAAGCAAAAAATTCCAAGTCTTTCATATTTGAATGAAACAGTACACCATTCTCCTCCTTTATTTTTTACTCTTGTTTGCTTCTTTAATGGTTTCCAAACATCGATCTTCACCCGTAATCTCATGTGTTGTCTCCAGAAGCTCGAATTGTTATTCTTATCATATTCCACAAAGGATCCTATAAAGTTGGCCATAGTGATTCCCACTCTCTCCAGCATCAAACCTGCAGGCAAGTTATGGACTTGGACCCAGAACTCGACGTGATTTAGCGGTATGTTTTCGATCTGGACTCCTAATTGCACCATCTCAATAATCAATAGATTGTTGTCGAAATTCCACGGTCCTCCATTCAACACCGATTCCATATCCAATTTATGATCAAAGTGGAATAGGAATAGACTTTTCGTCGCTTTCTTTATTATGACTCCTCTAACCGGCCTCCACACATCAGCAACACGTTTCTTCATGATTGTAACATGAAAAGGTCTATCAGATAGAAACCTTCCCACTAAGCACCATCGGAGATTCGATGTCTCGTCCCCTTCCTCATTCACTTCAAAACAGAATCCTTCCTCCTCGTTTTCATCGTGTATTGATAACTCTTCAATATTTGGACTAGCCATAATTCGGGTGAACACAAAAGATCAGACCACACTACCAGGATAAAGAAAAGAAAAAAAATTCTCAGACTGAGAAAATGTCAAACCCTAGCAGAGGCAAGGAGAAATAGCAACTTTTATGACATGGTCAGTTATATCAACAAAGAATGAAGAAAGCTTTTGACAAAAAGGTTCGACCTCGGGCATTCAGAGAAGGCGACCCCGTGCTCAAAAAGATCCAAACATTTCTCACTGATTCTAGGGGCAAATGGACTCCAAATTATGATGGCCTCTATGTGGTTAAGAAAGCATTCTCAGATGGTGCCTTAATACTCATAACCATCGATGGAGATGAGTTTACTTATCCCACAAATGTTGATGCAGTCAAGAAATACTTCGTCTAAAATTAAACAATATATAGCTCACTAAGTTGAAAACCCGAAAGGGCGACTTAGGAAAAACAGAGCGTCTCGGTGAATTGAAAACCCCAAAGGGCAGTGTCGCTACTCGAAAAATACGCGCAACGACGGGGAAGGCGAAAAAGGAAAAGAACAGAAGAGTCGCCACCGAACTTTATTTATTCCATGAGGGGAAAGGAAAATATCGAGAAAACCTTAAGAAAAGAATGGACAAGATGGTCTCGCAACCAAGATTGGGTTCGGAAGCCGGTTATGCGAAGGGAAGGTATTAGCACCCCTCGCATCCATCGTACTCGATGGGAACCATTTGTTTGTCGTGTGTGATTTATTTGCTTAAAAATTATGCTATAAAAGAGTGTTCCAAAGGATAGAGGGAAAGGTTAGAAATTGGGAAAAGAGAGATAACAGGGGAAGGAAAAGAAAGAATGGACTCGGTAGGACTTCGCGGTCCTAGGCCTACGTATTCTCGATAGACATGAGAAAATCAGAGTCGACGTAGTTCGGGGAACTACAGATATAAGGGGGAATGTGCTCGACAAGGATTGTGGCCTTTGTGCCTACGTATCTTTACTTGAACGAAGTAAAGAATCAGAGAAGCCGTAGTTCGGCCTACGATTTATTGACGTTTTTATGGATGATGCTATCGTACGCATTCTAGCAGTTAGGTGTATTGCTGCTCGCTCGTTGGAGACTTAGACATTACCTGTTTGCGGTAGAATGGACGTATCATATCCTTTTCGAAAGATAAGTTTTCGCCATGCGAGGCAAGATGTCACATTTGATTTGTTGAATTGTTTTTTTTTGGGGCGAGATAGGTCTTCGGATAGTAACCCCTACGGGTAGTACCCAATTCTTTATCTCAAAGTTTTTGTTATGAAAGGGTGTGGCGAACATAGCGTCTTCGTATTGAAAGACGAGTATCAAAACCACACACACTACAGTGAGCATCTCGACACTCGGAGAGGAAGAAGTCTACACTCAATCCTCTCTTTTTAGTTCAATACAAAGAGAACTTCATTCTCTTATTAAAGTGTTTTCGGTTTTGAATGGTAAGTGCTTTTGCGACAGAGAACCCTACGGTAAACGCCAGCACTCGGGATAGGAGAAGGCCTACGCCTAACCACTCCATGACCATTCAAGTTTTTGTTATGAAAAGAGTTTAAAAATGCGCTCGGTACGGGACCGAGGTTTTTAGGTGACAAAGGTTGCGGAAAGAAGTTGTAGAGGGAGATAGGTGGCAGATAAAGTCACGTCTTCGTATTGAAAAACGAGTATCGAGACCACCCACACTACAGTGAATATCCAAACACTCGGAGAGGAAGAAGTCTACACTCAATCCTCTCTCTTTAGTTCAATACCAAGAGAATCGATTTATTTATTGTAAGTGTTTTGAAAATGCACTTGATACGGGGCCGAGGTTTTTTTCAAAAATGTCACATTTTGCACTTAACTTCCAATGGTGGAAGTTATGTGTTATTTTAGGCTTTTTTCAAAAAATGTCACTTTTTGCACTTAACTTCCAATGGTGGAAGTTATGTGTTATTTTAGGCTTTTTTCAAAAATGTCACATTTTGCACTTAACTTCCAATGGTGGAAGTTATGTGTTATTTTAGGCTTTTTTCAAAAATGTCACATTTTGCACTTAACTTCTAATGGTGGAAGTTATGTGTTATTTTTGACTTTATTTCAAAAAATGTCACTTTTTGCACTTAACTTCCAATGGTGGAAGTTAGTGTTATTTTTGACTTTATTTTAAAAAATGTCACTTTTTGCACTTAACTTCCAATGGTGGAAGTTAGTGTTATTTTTGGCTTTTTTTCAAAAATGTCACATTTTGCACTTAACTTTCAATGGTGGAAGTTATGTGTTATTTTTGACTTTATTTCAAAAAATGTCACTTTTTGCACTTAACTTCCAATGGTGGAAGTTAGTGTTATTTTTGCCTTTTTTCAAAAATGTCACATTTTGCACTTAACTTCCAATGGTGGAAGTTATGTGTTATTTTTGACTTTATTTCAAAAAATGTCACTTTTTGCACTTAACTTCCAATGGTGGAAGTTATTTGTTATTTTTGACTTTATGTGGTTCTAAACCATGGACTCTTGGTCTCCTAGAACCTTACATGATGCATACAATACAATAACACATAAAAGAGTGAACGAAATGAATGTAAATAGCAAAAAAATAAAGAGAGAAAGGTTGGAGGAAATGGAAACCCAAGAGCTTTCTATTCTTCTTGCAAGTCCTCCTTGGTCTTGGTTGAATGTACTTCACTCCTCTTCCCTCTATGTTGTGAAGGTTTTTGTTTCTTTAAAGGTTCCTTGTCTTTCTTTAGAACTCCTTTTTTCGGTTTTCTCTCTTACTATTTTTCTGGTTTTCTTTGCAATGTGTGTTGCTCTCACTATTTTCTGTTTTTCTCTTCTCTCTTACTCTCTCAATCTTGTGTTTGTGAATGATAGTTAATGTGTTTGCAACCCCCTCTCCTCTCTTATCTCAGCACATTAGGGTTTACTCTTCCTTCAAGACTTCAAATCCTTACTTAGAAATGTCCAAGGCAACTTTCTTCATGTCACTCTCTTTCTTTCCATTTCCATGTATGTTGCTATGCTGTATTTTCTGCACTATTGCTAGGCCTTTTTTCTGCAGCACCTTGTGCCTTGCACCCATTTTGTTTGTTTGTGTTTGGACAGCTCCTCTTGGTCAATGCCACTAACTCTTGACAGCATTTTGAAAATTCTGATATGTAGAAGCATTGTCACATGTTATTCCTTTGGTCTTGTGACATGTGATCTTGTAACATGAAGAAATTTGTCACCTCTTGCATGGGACTATTTTGCCATGATTAAACATGTATATTCTTGGTCCTAAAACATTCCAATGTTGATTTAATCCTTGCATGTTTCTTGGATGTTTGTAAGCATAATGTAGACTTGGTGTGGCATTACCATAACATGAATTTGACTAGAGACTTGAATGAAGTATTAGAAATAAATTAATTTCTAAACATTACTTAGAGTTGAAAATCTTGCAACAAATGACATTCTTGTAATGTCACAAAACTCCTCTTTATAATATTCTTGCCTTTAATCTTGAATTCATGATGGATTTCCTTTATGTCATTGAATTTGAAAGAAATGAAGAAATGAGTCAAGCATTGAAAGAGGGAAAATTATGGGGTGCAACAGCTGCCCCTATTCAAACGACTTGGACCTGAAGGGATGAAAAACAAACGCTTTCAAACATTCGAGGTAAAAGGTAATTGAATACAAAAGAACCCAAAAATTTGTCAACCGTAGAATGAAACCTCTGACATCGCCGTCAGGCACCTATGACAGGTAGAACATCTGATTGGTAGAACATCTGATCTCGCCGTCAGTCCTCCATATCCTCTGACTTCGCCATCAACTTACAACATAATCTGACTTCGTCGTCAATTAAAATCATCTGACTTCGCCGTTATTTCTCAAACCATTCTGACGTCGTCGTCAACCCTTTACATGATCTGACTTCGCCATCAATTCTCCACATAAAATTTGGCAAAACACCTGACTTCGCTGTTAGTCCTTAACATCAAATTGGTAGGACACCTGACTTCACCGTCACCCCTCCATAATCTGACTTCGTCGTCAATTCTTTACATAATCCGACCTCACCGTCTATTCCCAACATGGCTTGACTTCGTCGTCAATTCTCTTCATAATCTGACCTCGTCGTCGATTCCCAACATGGCTTGACTTCGTCATCAATTCTCTTCATAATCTGACCTCGTCGTCGATTCCCAACATGGCTTGACTTCGTCGTCAATTCTCTTCATAATCTGACCTCGTCGTCGATTCCCAACATGGCTTGACTCCGTCATTAATTCTCTTCATAATCTGACCTCGTCGTCGATTCCCAACATGGCTTGACTTCGTCGTCAATTCTCTTCATAATCTGACCTCGTCGTCGATTCCCAACATGGCTTGACTTCGTCGTCAATTCTCTTCATAATCTGACCTCGTCGTCAATTTTTCATAATCTGACTTTGTCGTCAATTTTTAATAGCATCTAACTTTGCCGCTAGCTATCAAAATCATTTGACTTCACCGTCACTTCATTTTGCTAAAAAGATAGCATCAAAACCAAAGGTCAGCTCAACCCTAAGTTCAGAAGAACTTTCGTCGATTCACCATCTGAGTGAAGAAATCCGTTGGGGAAACATGAACTTGAATAAATAGACTCCGCTAGGGAGACTGATAAGATGAACACATTTGTCAATGACCTGGCTGGAGGTATGGATGCCACGCAGGATTGAGAAATATACTGATAACTGCTGGAGATACGCTTGAAAACAAAGGGGTGGCAACCCGGCTTATGTTTTACATGCACATGTTTGAATATGGCATAATGCTCCATACGAAATGGAAATGCTACGTGTTTGGGAGGATGTTATGTATGATGCAAATGCAAAGGAAACACTTTAGCAAAATAAATGCCAAAGAGGAAGGATTAATTCCGCCGGGGAAAAGACTAGACACGTCTAGTACAAATGTTGGGGAAAACAAAACCTGGATGGTCTTCTGAGCAAACTTCTGGGTAAAATTATTCCGCTAAGAGCAAATCCAC